AAATAGCTGCTGTGTACAGCCGCATGAAGTGCACTGCTGGCTATTTTTGTTACCAATTTGCATAAGGCGAACGAGAGTGAAACACCATAGGTGAGTGGCTACCGATTGTACTCAATTTATGCATAGAAAAATAAATAATCATGCTAGCTACTTGAGATTCTTCAATAACAGAAAAATAAATTGTTATTTTTATGGTTATAATCCACACAAATATCATATAGCATGATTAGTAACTACCGCTTTTAAGAGTAAACTTGGTATAAGTCAGAGTTCTATTCGAAAAATATATGTTTTTGAATAAAAATGCTTGCTACAATCAGCAAATTCATAACTGTTGAGTAAACCAATGATGAATTATGAAATTAAGCTCCATAAAAATTGCGTTTTCTGAAAGTATTTGAACACAATGCGATATCTTTGTTTATCTTTCAAGAGCGAAAGCATCCGCTGATCAAGATATTAAAAAATTCCTGACAATACGAGGGAATGGCCACTTTCTTATGCCCATTTCACCCAAATTCTTTGCATCTTCGTATTCAGGGTGTGAATTGAGACGAACTAAAACCCGGGGCCGTAAAAGAGCGTTTGCCTTAGAAATTCGATTTGGAGTTGCGTGAGTTGGGTGCGTCTATCACTCGGCAGATCAAATTAGTTCCCTGCCTCTCCCTCCTTCCCGAACCTTTTCCCCGGGTTTACCTGGGCTCTGCGGCCCTATAGAGTGTATTGCGGTTGCTGGCAGACAAACTCGGTCAGCACTGGCACTGTGTGAACCGAAAACGAGTACAACAATTGCAATCTGCTTACATCTCTTGGGAACTTGGTGTGGGTCGACTTGGCCAAGAGCTACGACTCTGGGGGCCCATAAATATCAGCCAAAAGGGTGTCGAGTCGGGAGGGTAATCTTATCAAAGGCATTGCTAAAATCGGGCTGATAAGCTGGCCAGCATAATCCGAAACGATAAGGCTGCACTGGGATTCGGAAACTCGGTACTGGAGTATTACCCAATCATGTGATTAACGGCCCTAGACCGCGCGAAAAGAAAGTGAAATCGGCTGGCATGAAGAAAAACATAAGCCAGAGCCCGAGTTCAAGGCACCGCGATGGATCTGCTCTTCAGGGAGAGTGTTTTGCCGCCTGGCCGCATAATTAGTTGTAAATATTTTTATACGTTTTATGGGATTTATGGTTATGAGGTGGCGAGAAAGCCAGGGCATGTCTCCCTCGATTAGGGCCTGTATTTGTATATGATATGCCAGTGTTATAGAACGTGTTTGAGATGCGCGACAATTCGTTATAGATGGGCAATTTAACGGCCACAAATGTCAAAGTCACGAACGTGGAGCGTAAGCGGCTTTTTTTGTGGCCAACGCGGCGTATGAGCGATCGTAAGGAGCTCAGACCATATTTACACGTTTGCAGCTTTTCGTTGTTTCTATCTCCAAATATTATTATTTTCAACACACACTGAGATATGGACGCACCTTTAATTGGAGGCTAACTGTCCGCTGCGTTACCGTAAAACGCCAAAACGTAACTGAAAACTGAAAACTGAACGAGCAACTTCGAAGTTCGAACGCCTGGAGTCACATCGTCGTCGCTCGTCGGCGGTTATCGCTCTGCTCGTGCGCATATAGCTGGCCCCATATAGCTACATGGCTGGCAAAATAAATACGAATTCCGAATACCAGATACCATATACCATATACGAGATACCTGAAAAGCTGTTGGCCACTGGCGCTTAATAGCCGTGGCCCACAGAAAAATGCCCTACAGGCGCCCTGCGTGAAAGGTGCGCTTCGTAACATCCCCCAGAAAACCCAGAGAAAATGGTATAGCCACGGCTGATGTGTGGACACTACTTAATTGCTTGCAAATTATGCACCATCTGGACTGTGGAGCATTTAGGCAACCCAAAAGTGGACACTTCCGACGGGCCAAATTGAAGAAAATCCCCATTATTGCTGCAAATATTTGCAAATATTTACACAAGTTTACACGTGCCGCAGTCGCATGATCTGCTGATCATGAATGTGCTGTAAGAACCCGATTATCTGTTTATTTGCTCGGCAAATGGGAACAACTTGTCGTTGACTCACTGTGTAGTATTTATTTGCTCAGCCCAATGGGTCAGCTTTGCGGGACAATTGCTTTAGACAGACACGTATTTACTTTGCGAGAGTGGTTATTCAATGAGCCATAGATTACCCGCGGCATTGCTTTATGACTGCTGCAATTACGGCGTATTTATAGATCGGTTATTGGGGATCCCGACCCAACAGGCTACTTTCAAGTGGCTTGCGTATTTAATATTAATGGAGGAAGAGCCAAAGTTCGGAATCATTAAAACACTGGGCTTAAAAATATAATCTCATCTATATACAATCGTTTCTTGAGCATATTGCTTACGTGCGGCCCAGTAAACTATGTCAATACAGATAAAAACAATAATCAATATAGTTTTTAAGCAAAGTCATTATAGTCAAATATTTGTCACGTAGAATTTTGGTAATTTTAGGCAATGTCTCTATAAAGCAATAGGAGCGTCACTGCTGATAAAAAATAATTTATTAAGTAATCTTTATAGTTCATAAACAACCAAATATACTTCAAATATTTATAACCGTCATTTTGCGGGAACATGGAATTATTCACATAAATTAAAACAATAAAGTGTATCTGTCTGTATGGTAATAAGGAAATCAAATAATAAAGATTATAATCTTTTGAAGTGTATATTCCTTTAAGAAGACCATACAAACTATACATATATTGTTATTATTAACTTGTTTATTGATTTTTGCTATTTACGTATTCAGCTTTTTTGAAATATCGCGCTTTTTCACACGTTTTCTGAGCTTCCTGTATTGAAGTTCGCATAAACACTAGAGTTCCCGAAACCCCAAAACACACGAATCCATATCGCTTTTGATAACCATGGCCAACACCGAAATTTTATGAGCTAGTGTTGTGTTTTTCTGTCGCTGGTTGATTATTTCGCTGATAGCGAGAGCAAAGTGTGTTTGCCATTTACACGATTACGATTCTGCTGGGGCCACATACAAAAATGCGAGGGCTTCCGCGCAAAGTCGACCGATTTCGCCCGGTGGCCGTGAAAATCCCGGGGGAGTGGCGGCGGGATGTGGCAGAGTGGATTCGAATGGAGTGGAGTGGGAAAAGCTGTTTAACTTGTGCCCGCGGGGAGTGGCCTGGCCCCGAAACGGAATGAATGCCCCATATACATGCCGCCCGGTCATCATAAAGCCTGGAAAACTGGTAACTCGGCACAGAGAAAAAATACAGCCGATATAGGTCATCGATTCGGGAGTTTTTCACATCAATGTGCCTTCAAGAACCTCTTTAACACATCTAAGAAATAACATATTACGTAAGTAATAGGTACTATTCAATATCCAAGCAAGTAAAATATTTATAGTCATTAATATGCCAAGATCTTACTTGTTTCTGATAAAAAAATATTAAAAATCTAAACAGGTTTAAAATATTATATAAATATAATATTTCATCATAATAAGAGAAGGTCCTAAAAACAAGTATCCCTTTTAAATTGTATATTATTATAATAATGTTTTCAGTTGCCTTGTTGATCTAACGATTATATTTAAGCATGATAATTATTAGTTGACCTTTAATAAAACTTAAAAAAATCGAACGCTCTTGACAGCACGACTCTACTGGACAGGTATGTATAAGAAATAAGTATTTATTCTTTTATGATTTATTAATAAATCGCATGCATTGTTGTATCTGTGTGTCGACCTGTTTTCGCCTAGCGGAGGAAGCCAGTTTTGGCAGTCCCCAATCGATGTGCTAATTACTGGGATACCGGAATTCAGAATTCCACAACTCCAGAACTCTATATCTGTATCCATCCACTGGCAGCTCCCCAGACGATGTTTGCACATCATTACAATTACGCCGCCGAGTGCTTTATTTTAATGATCTATTTGCGAGCGCGGTTGAATAACACGCTAATTGACACACAACGCAAACGGACGTGCACTTGAGCCGGAGTCGCAGGCAAAGGCGGATTCCGATTGGATTCGTATTGGGAATGCGCAACCTTGACAAAGAAAATTTCCAATTAACGGCGCTCGCCAATTTGCGTACACTGCGCGAAAAGGAAACACGCACGAAAGTGGCACACGCCGTTCGTTAAGAACTTATTAATTTTTAGCAATTATGCCATAATGGCGGTAGTTATCAAATTGGGTCGCCATTTCTGCGAAGAGAGAACCGAAATTCTGGCCACTGCGTGATCGAGGGGCAAATGGCTAATCGCAAATGGCAATGGCAGAAATGGATGAAAGAAAACACATTGATTGGCTTGATTATGCACAATAAATAAGAGTCGGTGACTTGTTCACTTTTGTCAGCTTTCCATTCGTTTATGGTAAATTGCTGGGCGCTGCTGCTGCTTCTGCTGCTGCTGCCAATTAAAATAGAAATTGTTGACCAGCCCAGCCGAAAAGTCTGTCGTTTGCTTTGCATAAAAAATTAAAACTTGAACACACAAACGAAACATACGAATTATTATTGCTGCTATTGTTGTTGTAGCTCTGCTGCACGCGGTGTAAAACTTTCGAATCTGCTGCTTTGGATCGGATCGGATTGAATCGGATCGGAAACGTTTGGATAGCGCAAAAACGCTCTGCACAGGCGCGTAACGTGTTTTCAACTGAGCTCGAGATCGCGGCTACAGCAACAGCAACACCCAAAGCAGCAACAATGCCAGTTTTAATGAATGAAAGCGCCATTTTTTTACCCGCTTTGTCAGCCAACAATGTGCACTTTTCGTACACTCGCTACAAAGCCAGTCCTTTGAGTGCACAAACAAAAGACAAGCAAAACAAAAGCCACAACAAACATTGCTTTTTGACCAACAGTAAAACCCAATTTGAATTCGATAAGGCAATGTGTGCCTATCGATAAGTCTTGGCCGTTACAAGCCTTTTTCAACACTAACTTGTAACGTATCGATAGATGATTCGATTTACACCTATATCGACCATCGAACTTGTTTATAAAGTTTGATACTATTTATTTATTAAATATCATGAAAAATATATAGACATGACCCCGCAAATTTCAAACGGCCAGCACTATGTGGAAAGTGCGCGTGTTTATATGAGAAGGGACTCCTCTATTCTGATTAAATGCTGCCTGTGCAATGCGGACACTTTTGCCGGTGGCAAGTGGGAGGATTTCAAGAGACACCTGATTCAAGGACACGGAGGAGCACGCCAGTCTGATGAAGATATGGATGAGATCCAGGACGAGGTACAGATAGAGCTGACCAACATCTTAGAGGCGGGCATTGGTCAAGAATCCCAGTTGGGCGGAGAGCTGGAGGAGGAATTGTTTACCAATGTGGAGTTCCTACATGAGGAGGAGGAAGCCGTAGAACTAGTCAGCTCATCGGATGAAGGGCATGATCAGGATGAACCTAGGAGGAGTGGTCTCCACGTAAGTACTCTTGGCTCCCAAGGAAATCCACTTACGACACCAGATTTTGTACCGCTTACAGGACTACATCCTCAATAGACCAAATAAGCCCTTCTATAGTCTGCGGCACACTAGTCCCGGGATCATTCAGTATTTCATAGAGCTCCTGCGCCGGCAGGAGTATCTGTGGAGCATCCACCATGGAATCAACAGAAAGGATCGCTTGGAAAGCTCCAAAAAAGTGGCACAGGCGCTGTCCCATCGGTTTGGGTGCCACTTACAGCCACAGGTAGTTAACGCCAGTGCTCGATTCCTGCAAGTCTGGTTCGAACGACAGTACGTGATGCAACTGAGCAACTCAGACTTTCGGTGCCGCTACCCAAACTACTACCACAGCCTCCTGAGATTCATGCCCACTAGCCATATCTCGGTGACCATTTGCGAGGAGTGCGACCGGCGTTGCCTCAACGAGCGCCAGCTGCGGCTGCACAAGTTCCGAGTGCATGGCGGACCCAATCCGAACACATGCCATGTGTGCAACCAGGACTTTCCGCTCGCCTCAAAGCTGCAGCAGCACAAGGCGCGCTACCACTTTAAGCCGCTGGAGTGGCAGTGCGGCAGATGCGACTACAATGCACCTTCCAAGTGGGACTTTCAGCAGCATCAGGCCATGCACGCCGGGCAGAGGAACTACACCTGCGAAGTGTGTGGGCACAGCTGCAAGACCAGCTCCGCCTTGGCAGTCCACCGGCGCACGCACGACCAGCCGAGATTACAATGTCCCCAATGCGACCGGCAATTCCGAGAGAACTACACCTTGAAGAGCCACATCCGTAAAATCCACGACGGCGACAATGCGCGGAGGGTCTCCTGCAGCATTTGCTCGAGAAGATTCCAAACGAAGGAGATGCTAGAGCTGCATGAGTTGGTTCACTCCCAGAGGGAAGAAAAGGAATCGGAGGAGACTGAAGATCTGGAGGAACTGGATACACCCTTTAACTAAGTACTTTTTGAAGAACGAATACGAACAACACAAGTTATTTGAAGACTGAATCTTAGTTGGTAATAATAAAAGTTTTAAAATGAATTATAGCTTAACAGACATACTTATATGAATATGTTACTCTCTTATATAGCTATTCGAATGATTTACATCGAACGAAGAGAGTTCAACCAAGCTTTGCATTATTTGGCCTTAGCTACTATACTAACTAGAACCACATTTTCGCCGCGTATTAGAATCTGTGGCAAATCTCGCTTTATCTCCACGTTCTTCCGGTTTAAGCTTTGGACTTGGGTCTTGGGAAGAGTTATCCCCAGCTCCCTGAGCCGGTCTGTGCAATCAACAGGTGTGTCGCATATGTTCTGTTCTCCGTAATTGTACTTTCGTCGCTTCCAGGTTTCGGTGGCGTTTCGCAGGAGCATATTCCACTGCTTGTCAAAGGCCACCAGTTCACCCTCGACGCTGCCGCCCACTGCTCCCTGCTTGCGGATTACCACCCTAACTCGAATTATTTCGTGTTTCTCACTAGTTTCCTTGGGGCCAGCCGAAGGAATGCACTTTTTAAGGACTTCCAGGGGACCGACAGTGCTCTCCATGTAGGTGAATATGTTGCGATGGTGCTTCTTGTTCGAGGTCCTAGTCGTGGGCATCTGATGGGGCTCAAAGCGACGCTGAGGAGCCTCCAGGATGTCTGCAGACCTGGAGGAAGATGCCTTCTTCGATGCTCCCTGATCTCCTCCTCCGGCTTCCGGTTTCTGCCGCTTGTTTAACTGCCAGATGCCGAACTTTTTGAGCGCACTCTCGAAGGCGGCCAGGTTTTGGTAGAGGACTTTGGGGACCACATCCGTCACCTTGTAGTTGGGTTCGTATAAAGCTCGCAACGGATTAAATTGATCACTGCATACATCCAGTTCGGGATTATGGCTGAAAGCATCTTCCTTTGAACTTTTCGGGGCCTCCGTTTCCCTGTCACTCATTTCTGATCCTAAAAAGTCCCTTAAAATGCTGGTTTGCTTGTAAACAAATCCGCCGGCTAACCTAAGAGCTCGATAACAGTTATCGATTAATTTGAAGGGAGGCAAAAGCGATAATAATTTAAAATTAAAAAAAAAAAAACATTTCAAAACCAGTTTAAGGTGGTTCCTAACCCTATAATTCACAAAAAAAGTTCAATATCTTATATTATCAGCCCTTTTTGTTATCACTAGCTTTTACTAATTTAATTAAAGGTGTAAAACGGTCCATTATCTGTACATATTATATTGCCTGGGAAAGATCTTCATCAAAGGAGAGCTTTCGCCAATAAACCTAATCAGTGAAGCTTTTAACGCAGAGAAAGCAACAAGTTCTTTTTACTGTTTTAAGTTTTACCCTTCACAAAGGAGATGGCAAGTGAGTAAAAAAAGGGGACTAAGTCATGAAATCTTGCTGTAACTGGGTTATCCTGCAGCCGGTGGAAGCAACACGACATTTGACCTCAGTCCCAAGTCCCTGGTGGGCGTGGGCGTGGGCCTGGTGGCGGTGGGCGGTGCCAGTTACCTGTTGTACCGCCACCTGACCCGCGATGTGATGCCCCAAAAGTGGCGACGCGTGGGCACCGTGGAGAGGGTTCACTTCTTTCCGGTTAAGTCCTGTGCTCCTCTGCAAATCTCCAAGACCGGAGTGGAGTACGACTGCGATGTGCTGAGCATGTCCTTTGAGGGAATAAGGGATCGTACCTTGATGGTGGTTAACGACAAGAACGAAATGGTCACGGCTCGCGTATATCCCCACATGACCCAGATCCAATCGAAGAAGGTGTCGCCCAGCAAGCTGATTTTTAGCGCCCAGGGCTTGCCCGACTTGGAGTTGGACTTTGAAAACCTGGAGGGTCCTGGAAAGGATGTGAACACATCCGTTTGGGGCGTTCCCGTGGACGTGATGCCCTGCGGAGATCGGATCAACAAGTGGTTCTCACAGGCCATCCTGCAGAAGGAGAGCGGCCTCAAACTTGTTCACTACCCCTATCCGAAGCCAGTGAGAAGCACCAATCCGCGACTCAAGGACATGCCCTTTATAAGACAAGAGGATTCGGTGGGTATCCTAGTGTATTTTGCTAGTTTTGCACAGCTAATATTTCAAAAAACAAGAATAGTACTATCCCAGGATAAAGGTTACCCATAATTTTACTATCCTCTTCTGTATGTTCATTCCACAGGGCACCTTCAACGATGCCACCAGTTTTATGCTGATGAACCTTTCTTCGGTAGCTGATCTCAACACTCGGCTAAAAAATCCTGTGGATGCCCTCCAGTTCCGTGGTAACTTCGAGCTGAAAATGGATGTGGACGAGCCCTATGCCGAGGACAATTGGCAATGGCTGCGTATTGGCGATGATGCTGTCTTCCGTACGGTGGCGCCTTGCACGCGCTGCATCCTTCCGAACATAAATGTGAAGACTGCTGAGAGGGACGCCGATGGGGAGCCACTGAAGACGCTGAGAAGGTGAGTCCTTGCTTTAAGCATGATCTGAGCAATGCGATTTATCGCGCTACTTCATCTCTGGTCTCCACAGCTACCGCTTGTTCAACTACAGCTCACCGGCTCTGGGCATCCATTTGGGTCTTCGGCTTCCAGGAAAGGTCAAGGCAAACGATGTGGTGTACGTGGGGGACAAGTGATCGCTCCGAAGGCTCTTCCAATATATTATTCCGCATACATTCAAGTTTATTACATAGAACATAGATAATGAGGGTACCGTAAAGTTTTATATGCAAATATACATGTGTTATGAGCCTATAACAATATAAACAACTTTAAAGCGCATCCTAAACACAGGACTGCCAGGCGAGGCCACCACAGGCCATGCTCACGATTACGTAGACAACAAAGGTTATCACCAGGCCCACCACCACGTAGATGCGGATGTTCTTCCAGAACATTTGTCGCGCCAAGTTCCGCGAGGCCTTGCGGAATGCAACGGACTGTAAAAGAGGCAGATGAAAGAACATTTCCAAGCCCAAATGGTGTCATCTTACATTATTGCTCAAGTTTTCGGTCTTGTTGACCAGCAGCTCCAGTTTCTCGCCGCGATCTCGCAGACTGTCTGCAGTTGGGATAATCGGAGATCAGTGAAATGATAAATTAAGGAGAACCGTCTTCTTTCTCACCAATATTCTTAACCATGATGTCTTTTAGCTCGTCTATCTGCCCATGAACTCGCGAAATGGTGTCCACCTCCCGGGACTGACTAAAGTAGTTCATCTGGTCGGCCAGGATCTTGGAGAACTCGGTGTTCATGGAGTAGGCGATGGCGGTGGCCACCTGCAGGCCGTAAGTCTGGATGAACTTCTGCTTGACGTCCGCCAAGAATAGGAAGGCCCGGGAACGCTCGAACTCCTACGAAGAAACGGGGAGATTTGTGAATATCGATTAAGCAATGAGTAACCGGTGGGTAACTGGGCCAGCGGTTCGTTCACCCACGTTGTCGGTGATGCACATGTAGACCAGCTTGTTCTCGCAGGTGTAGTGGATCAGGTAGTCGCCGTGTGTGTAGGTCATCTTGTGGTTGTGCACCCCGATCCGGCCGATGATGTGCTCCGTCACTTCGGCGAAGTTGCCGACGCAGTCCGCGTACTTGGCCAGCACGGTGGTGCCCCGCGATATTACACTATAAAGTATCGGCATGGTGCCACAGATTCGTCTTTGTTGAGGGTGCGGTTCTTCAGTTCTTCAAGCCGCTTTCGCTTTGTTTTGCTTATCAATCAATCGGGGAACAAACAACGAACCGTCACCGATGACGTGCCCTCGGAGTCTGTGAATCCGAAAAGTATAAATTTAGTAACTAATACTATCTGATCTCGGGCTTATCAATTTCAACAATAGGTGTTATTCATGAGTAATATGCAATATATGTAATCAAATATTAAACCACCTACTTGCTTTGTTTATCCAATTCGGTTTGCCTCAAGTCGACAAGGAAACTACAGATTTACATTTTGTGGTAGCGACACTGGCTATATTGATTTTTCACTATTATTATTATCGCACAGTTAAAGACATCACAAATCCAAGAAGTTAGTTCGATTTTTTTAACAACAATACAATTGCTGACGCTTGATGCAGTTATACAAATTAGGGGTGGGTAAACATCGATGACACTATCGATGCATCGCAAGTCATTCTCATTTCATCGCATACGGTTACACTGATTAACGGGCTTTTCAAAAGGAGTTGTACGGTCTTATTGTTATTTGTTTTTGAATAACATATTTAATGACCTTATGGGGTTGAAATAGGGACACCCCAGCCACAGCTTGCCAGTATTGATCAGAGCATTAGATCATTCAGTTGAGACTAAGCTCCACAAAGAACGGAGAGCCTTCGCAAATAATAGGCAGTTCTGAAATTACCATACCAATCGTTGTGCACTTTTGAAACCAGAATATCACATCCCTGCAGTAGTCCCTTGATCCTTAGATAATTTGGATTCTAACTCCTAAGCAGAGAAAGGTAAACAATTGGTGTACTAACAGATAAATATACAAGGTAATCTGAATGTATTTAAAAGCTTGAGATTTAGAAGCTATGGTTCCAATGTATGGTGCTGCTGAGCTACTTGATTTCAAATAATGCATGGGTTGTACAATTAATTAATTTAAAAAAATGCCCACAAAGTTTACTGCTGTACCAAAGCTGTTGTTATTCTAATCATTCATACATTTTGTAAATGTACACTTGTGAGATAAGCGGGTTACTTTTCTTGTGACACGATATACTAGAAGAAACTCATTCGTTATTCTATGCATATTTTTAAAGCCTTAACACTAAGGGCCACCTTTTGCTAAGATTACTAGTGCTTTACTTCGGTGACTAAACTGATCACTGAAATGTATATCACCCGTATCTCAGCGAATCTTACATTTAGAGCAGGCAGATTAGATAAACATAAAAAAACTATCAATTATCTAAATGTAATAACAACAATTAATTAGATAATCTTGTTCGCTTATGTTATTCCTATAGACATTCAATTGAATTATTTAGATTTGAATAAATTCTGTACAGTTATAAAAAGATTTTCATATATATTCGCAAGTCTTTAAAAGGAACAAATAAACACAATTCAAAATAAATAAACAGAACAATGTAGCTCTTTGATAGCGCTCTTAAAAAGTTGGACTGTAGAATGAATATTTAACCTATACATACACAAAATTTATGTTTGCCGCGGAAATATAACATCGTTGAACTGAATTTTTGAATTTCAAATTCTGGGAAAGCTTTCGCGAATTCTTCAGATCGATCTGGCAACCCTGGCGAACCGTATGTTCGGAGAAATGGCAATTGCAAATAGCGCGGAAGAAGCGGAGAACGCAGTTCGCGCGGAGAAGAGCAGGAAATGTTTTTATTTGAAAAAGATGATAGGAGAGTACATAGGTGAGTGAAGGTGCCGTGTCGATCGATTACACGCCTTAGACCGTATTGCTCTGATTCATTGCAGACACCTCTGTTCGCATTGTGGCCACCGTCTTTCTGGCTGACTTTCTACAGCGCTTGTACCGCTGTGTCGTCGAGTATGTCCGGTACAGCCGGTACTATCTGCCCGAGGACCGGGTGTGGACGATCCTCCGACGCTCGTACACGTACAACACCAAGTCGACCTTCCTGCTGGTGGGCTTCCTCCTCGTGGGGTTCGCCCGAATCTCGGTTACCGGAAGTTGCAGAGGCATAGTGCCCACGATCGTGTTCCTGGCCCACATGCCGCTCTACTGGATCTTCAGCGATCTGGGTCAGAGCACCCTGAGCTACTCCCACTGGATACGGGAATCCCACGGACTGGACTACGCGGCCGGAATGGCCTCCAACTACTTCCACGGCTACCTCAAACTTTCACTGCCCGAACGCAAGGAAGATGGACTCCACCACCGAATGGAACTTTATGAGGTAAGTTGACTCCGAGGTCTATCCAAATTTATAATAAGATTGCACTTTCCAGGACAAGAACAACATCACCTTCGGCATAAATCGACTGGTTATTCTTATTCCCGACGAAATGTTTGTTAATGGCGTGCTCGAAAGCGATTTACTGGATAAAGCTGAGGTGAAAGGTCGCAAGAAATCCTTGGAGATCATAATACAAGTCTAGTAATAACGTTCTTAGCCCCTGGAGACGAAGTTCATAAACCGAGCCGGCGTGAATCGTCCCTTTAAACACGCTGTGTACAGACTGAATCAGAAGGTTAATGGCAAGACCTACTACTTTGCCATCGAGGGGGCCACGCCCATGCTTTCCTTCTTCGATGCCATGCAGTCCAACCTGTCGGCCACCTGGCAGATGAAGGAGCTGAAGCGGGAGATCTGGCTTAAGTTCTACAAGCACTTGAAGGAGCTCATTACCACGTGGCCGGAGACCCGTAACTTAGTAGAGCTGATCATCTACAGCTGTAGGTGGAAACCTCTTCAAGGGGTTTAACAGGCAATACTAACTATATTTTTTTTTCAGCACATGATTCTAATGGGAACCTCGTAGATGTTGGCGAATTGCTTAAAGCCCATATGCAAAACAAAACGAGGACTATTGACGAACTTACCGACTAGGAAATCCAAAGAAATTAGCGAGTTTAAATATTTCTAGCACAGGAATAATAGGCTTAGAAATCACTTACTCGGCATCAACAAACCGCGACAATTTTTATTTAAATAGGTATTTTTTTACTTTTATATGCACGTACCTAAAACTAATGAAGAATTTCAATACAATAAATCAGTGTTACTAATGTTAAAAACAAGTTTATACGATAATGTGGCTAAAAGGGATACAAACTAAAAGTTACTCCTTGTTTGATCGACTTATTCTATATTATTTTGAATTTTTTTTTCATATTTTGATCGAGTTATTGTCTGAATACATGTGTATTTATCTTTTTCAAAATGATACTTTTTTAATCGGATTTTTTTGTTTTATTTAAAAGCATAACTTTTGAAACGGGATGACAAGGTTAACAAAATTCTTGACGAAATGGTCAACTAAGAATTCCAGAGGGCCAAGAAGAGAAAAATTGGCATTTCGTTACTTAGGAATCTTTCTTATATTTTAAACTACAATTAATGGTAATATTCAATGTAATAAATAATTATTTCTAATGACAAACTGGATCTTTCATGGGAATGGCTTATATATTAGTCATAATGTAATCCAAATGCTTAAGCCTCCAGAAGCTGATTATCCGGATTGGGCTCCGAACTTTCCTGTTCCTTCAGCCGAGCCTGCGCTGTGGCCAGCATTCGCGCCTTCCATGTATCGTAGTCCTCCGTCTGAGGCTTCTGCGCCTTCTTGCCCTCTAGGCCCTTGATATTCTCCTGTTGACTTTCCTTAAGTTTCCCATCCAAATCGGAGGAGGCTTGTACTTTTACATCTTTGTGGTGCTTGGCTATCATGAGACTCCACTGCTGCTCGAGCTGTTGGAACTGGGTGGGACGAAGGTTGCTAAAGGGCATGAGCTTGGTCTTGGAGACCTTTTTCTTGAGCAGGCGACAGGCCTGGAAGACGGCCATGGCTGCGTACTGCGGATGTGTGGTGTCGGTGCCCGTGTCCTCGGTGGCCGCCACGGCCTTGAAGAGGGTCATCAGCTCCTCCGCCTTGCGGGTCACCTCGTTGAGGCCCAGCTGCACACATATGTCGTTCACGCTGGCCAGTTTGTTCAGGTCCAGGAGCTTCTCGAACATCCGCTTGTTGTTGAGGTAGTGGCTCTTGCGCAATCCAGACAACTTAAGGGCCTGCTCCTTTTCAAACCCGATGCCCAGCAGACAGGAGGCGAGGTCCGCGCACAGGACTATCTTGCCATACTCGTTGATCTGCAGGGGGACATTTGTGGAGCGCAGCTCCAGTAGACGCACCAATTCAGTGGTTTTCCTGGAAAGGATCCGATTTAACCAATAAGGTCACTTCACTTATACCATTTCGAACTCACTCCATCACATTGGGCTCCTCCCGCAGACCCATCTTCGTTATCAACTGTTCTATTAAAGTAGTCATTGCTCTTATTAATCGCAGTCTTAATTTCAAGTCGTGGGTCGTTAAATCACAAATAACAATAAATGGCGCGAAATGAATCAGCTGTGAGCGATACGTTTTGACTATAATCGAGCGGTTATCGGTACTTTGTCATATGAACGGAGCTAGTTCCGATAAACTTTAAAATATTTGAAAGAGGAAAATACTAAGGGGCTCTATGGTTTAATTATTTTAATGTTTTCCGTTTAGTTGTAACTGGAAATGCGATTACGAACTTCAGTTATTGCAGCTTTCGGCATAGCTAACTATTTTACCCATTACGACTTCAAGTGCAAGGATCAATACCCCCCCAAACCGAATCGAAAGTCAATGTTTCACCCGATTTTGTTTATACATTTTGCGCTTTAGGGAAATATAAAATTAACGTTATGCATTTGGGCCCAGAATTAGATTCACAGCCGCAAACGAACTAATGCGTCTCATTGTCGCTGTCATCCTCCTTGTTGGCGGCGTCTCCGGCATTCCGCGCCTTCTCAGTCAGTTCTGGGGGATTGATGCGATGCAGGCCATCGGTCACCCTGCCCACCAAACCCATTTCGAAGCGGAAGTCCTTGTCCTTTAGCTCGTCATGGACCTTGTAGATGCTGAAAAATAAGATTGGCATGACAATAACTTTTTATAAATTATTCTTAGACAATAGGGGGGTTAATTCTAAGCGAAAGAAAGAAACTAGAAAGGTTTCAGGGCAGTAGACCTACATTTCACCGGCGCTCTTCACCAGATCGTCGATCTTCATGTCCGGCTTGAGCTTCTCCATCTCCGTCTTGGCCAGCTGTTTGGCCTTGCCGCTAGCGCAGGCGAAGTAGCCGAAGGAGGAGCCGGAGGGCTCGATCTTGTAGAGCTGCGGGCCCTCGACCTCGTCCCAGGAGGCGAATATGATCGACAGCCCGAAGGGGCGGACGGCGCTGTACAGGGTGTAGGCATGGACGTATCCGGCGACGCGGTCGCACAGATGCTTCAGCGGAATAGCGTGCTCGAACTGTTGCCTGTAGTTGGCCGCCTCCTGGCGGGCGATGTCCGCCACATAGTTTCCATCGGCCACCAAACCGGCCACCGCCATTCCGATGTTCTTCTCAATGGTGAAGATGCGCCCGCCGGCGTCCGGCTCGTACAGCTTGCTGGTGATGATCTTCTCCACGGCCAGCACCACGGCGTCCTTGCCTCGGATCCCAATCACGGTGCCGCTCTTCTCTACAGCCTTCGAGGCGTAGTCGATCTGGAAAACGCGGCCATCCGGCGAGAACTGGGAGGCCGACAGGTCGTACTGCAAACGAGAGGGCCACGTTAGGAATCGTTCGATCAGGGACTCGGCTCACCAACTACTTACTCCGGTGCCAATAGTACTCATTGCGAAGACTTGATGGAAATTTAAACTTTTCAAACGCAAAAATTAGTTTAATATCTTGGGTCAAATGCGACGATGATTTGACGGCTTTTGCTTGGCTAGTGGTGGACAAAACAAAGGCGCATATCGATTGTCCGAGTTTCGATATTTTGCTTGCAATCGCCCGCCACTGGCCGACTATCGCTTCAAACTGTATAACTATCGCCTAGGTTTAAATTTATATTGTATTTGAATATTAAGCATTTAAAGCTTCGCTTTATTTTACGTGTATAACAAGTTACAAATTTGTTTTTAAGAGTCATCAACATATCCACCCAGCCCAAAAGCTATAAGCGTTATATCCTTTCAATCTAATGATTTTTTTGGGCGCCGCTTCAGGATTCTGGAAAGAATTGGTTGTAATTTAAATAAGGAGTTAATGTCGCAAAACTAAAACTGAACTTACATTGCAAATAAACATCCTTATTTCCTCGTCGCTCGTAGAAAATCCCAGTTCAATGGGCAGCTTTCGCTTCATGTTATTGTTGGTCATTTCCTGGCGAACTCGTTCTGCGATCCCAGTTACCAGCTTATCGTTTAAGCAGATTTGTTTCAGTCCCAAATAGTGTAGTTTGGGACAGGCGTCAAACAGGTGCAATACCATTGAGTCACTGACGCACGGTTCATTGAAGACTATCTTCTCCAACATTTTGAGCTTGGCGATTGGCGCATAGTCAAAGTCCACCCAGGACAAACAGAGGACTCGAAGGCCGCTAAGCTTGCCCACCTCTTTCAGCTGCTCCTTGGTTAGGCGGGCACCAATTGTTAAATGCTCTAGCTCCTGGTACTTGTACTCCACGAGTCCTTCGATTAGCAGGGTCAACAAGTTATTATAGTGTTGCCAGTCCTGTGTGTCCAGTATATCACTGCAAATCATCAGCTCTTTTAGGCTTGGCAGTTGGGCCACATACACGCTGTTGCGGCGGAGACCCATGGTGAATCGTAGCACCTCCAGCGAAGGACAAGAGTTCTCCATTACCATCATTTTGAAGACCTCGTCATACCTATACAAACGCAGGAGGTCGAGGGATCTCAGTTTGGTTAGGCGCTTGCAGGTCTGGGGAAGGGAGCCGACTTCCAAATTGAGGCAGTTAAGCTTTAGCACCTCGATGGAAGCCGGTAGCTCGTAGAAGGTGCGACCAGTAATATAGCAGTTGCTCAACTCTAAGATCTTCAGATTGGTCAGGTTCTGGAGCACAGAAATGTCCTTATCGCGAATGCCTGAAGAGCATATCTCCAGAGCCTCCAGATGATAAGCATTGTCCATAATAGACTTCATGAATAGATACATATTAGGGCAGAACACAAAATGCAACGTCCTCAGATTGCTGCATTTGTCCCCTACCAATTTGGCCAAACGTTCCTTGATATGCATTACCTTAATGCTCTGTACATGAGCTCCAGACAGCTTGAAGAAGGTGCATACTTCCCTGGCGGTACATTTTTCAAGCTCATCGGAGTTCACGGACTTGTGCAGCCGGGCAGTGGCCATCTTGTAGATCCTCCTAAATCGTGGGCAGGTCCTGGCGAATCGCAGCTGATCCTGCAGTCCCAGTTTTTGCAGGACACGCTCCAAGCAGTCGTCATTAAGAGACAAGATGGACGATGTCCGCCTATGGGACAGCATTTCCTGAGGAGATTCGTATGCATCTGGCTGTGCCATTATGAATCTTCCTTGTTCTTTTTATACACCAGGTCAAAAAGACAATATGTGTAAAGCAAGTCTCAAGTCTTGCAACCCCAGAATTACAAACGTCAATTTAGGCTGAAGCAAAAATCGTTGCCTACCTGATACTGTCGCAATTTTATTGGTAAACTTACCTTACTTACCTTACTAAAACAAACTAGACAGCATCGAAACTTATTGTTAACTTTAAAAATTTCGGGACATTGAATTTATGTGGAATATCTGTCAAAAAACGTATGCAACATCAACAATTTTAAGCTACCGTTCTTTTAGCCAAAGTTTAAATTAGCCCCAAATTAAAATTAATAGTAGCATTCTGGGTATGAATTGTTGAAAAATAAAACAACAAAAAATAATTTCTAAATGGTTCCTGTTGAATTTTCAAACAATTGTGACCATTTGTCAACTTTTTCGGAAGTAAAAACCAGGGTTCAAAATACTATGCTACATTTGTAGTTTTAACTATTTGCTACTGCAAACATTTAAAAACTGTTAAGAAATTCAACAGTATAGAATCTAAATATATTTAATATTTATTCGAATATATATCTATCTAAATATGTTAATTGAACTTATTTTATTTTACCGATGGAATATCCCATACATATTCTGCACAGTTCCATTTCGAACTAGCTCCGAACCGCGGCGCACGCGGTTTTTGTATTTATAAACAACTGAAATCATGCTGGCGAGTATCAGCGAAAAGAGGTAACTAGAACTGCCTAAATAAGATGACAATAGTAAATACTAAACAATTAAATGACCCAGCTACGCGGCGGAGGCACGCTACACGAACTTCTACGCCGGCGGCGACATCGCCTGGAGCGCGGATGGCCATTATCTGTACTGCCTGAATGGAGCGGCTGTAAACCAGGTGGATGTGAAGAGCTCCCAAATCCTGTTGAGCTTCGGAGTGGCGGCCTCATCGGGGGAGAACAAGAGGTCGGCAGATGTGGATAACATCGACGTGGAGGATGACACCGTCACCTGCTTCGGCCTGTCTCAGGAGCACCTGGTCACTGCCCACCGGAGTGGCCTGCTCCGGCTGTGGCAGCTGGCCACCGCCAAGCTGGTGAAGCTGTGGAAGGCCCAGCACAAGGGACCCGTTATTCGGGTGGAGTTCAGTCCCTGCGGCAGGCTAATCTGCACCAGCGGCGGAGCGGACGCCACACTAAGGCTGTGGGACTACTCTAACAACAGCTGCCTGGGTGCCCTCAAGGGTTTCCCGGGTCCCGCTTGGCTCCTTGTCTTCCATCCCAATGTGCTGCGCAAGGAGATCTACGCTGGGGGTTCGGATAGCACGGTCTATGCCTGGAACTACGAGACCAAGACCCTGCTGCACAAGATGCGGGGTCATCTCTCGCAGATCACGGGCCTGAGTTTCAAGAGCAGCTCGGCCGACTGCAATGAGATCGTGACCGTAAGCCGGGACAAGGTCTTGATCGTGTGGCAACTGCAGGAGCAGTTGGAGAGCAAGCAGCTGAAGGTACTCCCTATGTACGATGAACTGGAGGGAGTCGTGTACGTCGAAGAGGGACATCAGATAATCGTAGCCAGTGGGACAGGCAAGCTGCAGCAGGTGGACACCAAGTCCTGGAAGACCAGGGATCTTCTTTCCCAGTCCGATTTCCAAATCAGCAGACTGTTGCACTGCAGCGAACTTAAGCAGCTGGCGCTGGTCACTACGGAACAAAATATCCTGCTCTACGATGCCGGAAGTCTGGAGCCTATTAAGCAGCTTGTGGGCTACAACGACGAGATTCTGGATATGTGCTTCATGGGGGACAACGATCGCTACCTGGCCGTGGCCACCAACAGCAAGCACTTCAAGCTGTACGACACGGAGCACGATATGAACTGCAAGCTGATCGTGGGCCACTCGGATACGGTCATGTCCCTGGCCGCCTCCCAGAATCTACTCATTTCGGTGGGCAAGGATTGTAGCGTCCGGTTGTGGAGGCTTCAGCACGACAAGGATTGCTCGCTTGAGGCTCTGACGCAACAGGCCAACTGTCACACGTCCACTATTGGATGCGTGGCCATGACGCACAACGGAGCCACCGGCTTTGCTTCCGTCAGCCAGGATGGAAGCATGAAGGTGTGGCAGCTGGCCAGGGACAAGGAGGATCGCAACTCGTACTCTTTCAACCTGCGCTATGCAGCGCTTTCCCACGACAAAGAGGTGAACTGCGTGGCCTATGCCCCGAACAACAAGCTCATTGCCACCGCATCGCAGGACAAGACAGCAAAGGTCTGGCTGTCGGATTCCAACTCGCTGCAGGGCGTGCTGCGGGGTCACACACGCGGAGTGTGGAGTGTGCGCTTCTCGCCGGTGGACCAGATCGTGCTCACCTCGTCTTCGGACTGCACTCTGCGCCTTTGGTCCATCAGCAACTTTACGTGCATTAAACGCTTCGACCAGGAGTGTACCATACTTAGAGCCGAGTTCCTGGATCATGGAAAGTTTATCCTTTCCGCCGCTTCGGACGGCCTTCTTAAGCTGTGGAATATAAAGACCAACACATGCCTGCTATCCCTGGACGAGCACAGCGACAGGGTGTGGGCTCTGGCCGTTTCCGGCCGTAGCAATCGGTTCTTCTACACCGGAGGGGCGGACTCCAAGCTCATTCGTTTTGGCGACGTCACCCAGGCGACGCGCAACGAGGCGCTGGACCAGCGACAGGCCACCTTGGAGCAGGAGCAGACACTTCAATCCCTTCTGCACGCCCACAAGCAACTTCACAAGGCTTTCGTCCTGGCTTTGAACTTAAACAAGCCAAAAACCAGCTTTGACATTATCAACCACTTTGTCCGGCAACGGGATGATCCTGGTCTCCGCCAACTGGTGGACCAGTTGAACGTGGACCAGCGCGTGGCGCTGCTGCAGCATGTCAAGGCATGGACCACCAACTCGCGACACTCGCAGGTGGGCAACCTGATCCTGAAGCACTTAATCGGCGATGCTCTGCAGGATCCCAAGGCAAGGTTCTACAACAATGGCAACATGGTCGAGGTGCTCACACCGTACGTCCAGAGGCACTTTAAGAGGGTCACCGAACTGAACAAGGAGCTGGCCTTCCTGGAGTTCATTGTCAAATGCATGTAGACTATAGCTTTTGATCTGTTTTCTTCAGGCTTGTTGTAATGTAACTGAGTTTAAATAGTTTTAGGAAGTAAAAAGTACAATATTATATTTCGAGCTTTTAATTTGCTTAGGATGTGGAAACCCCATTGAAACTACTAAAAAGCGGTGCATATTTTTTGTATAACGTTTATTAGACAATAGTTAATATAACATTTATAACCACTTACGTACTTACTGGAGAAGGGGAATCTCGACAGAGGTGTTGGCGAATTTAAAATTTCAAAATCGTACAAATTTGATTCAAATGACTTGGGGAAAGGCTCTATGATAAATTTACAAATATACTTGGGCACGCACATGTACAATCCATTCCCAATCCCATCAATTTTGGCAGGGTAAGCTAAAACTTTATATCAATTAGGGTTGTTCGAATTATCCTGGAAATACAGAAATATATCTGACAAGCAGTACGGTTCTACAGCATCATATCAAAGTAGACACAGGCGATGGGACAGTTTATGGTCAATTGAACCGACAGAATCCCTAAGATTATCACTGTTTTGACTTAATTTTACATTGGGTGTGCGGTGGCAGCTTAACAATGGACATTACGACCCGGGGGCACATCTTCCGGGACTCCTACTCTATTCGATAATCATGATGAGGTCCTCGCCCTCGAGCTTCGTTCCGTTGGCGATCTCCAGCTTCTTCACAACGCCAGCCAATGGCGACTGCACCACCATCTCCATCTTCATGGCCGAGAGCACCACCAGGGGCTGACCCTTCTCGACTTTGTCGCCGACCTGCACGCGGATATCGATGACGGTTCCGGGCATGGGGGCGCCCACCTCGCTCTTGTTCGACTTGTTGGCCTTGGGATGGACATGGATCTCCTGCGGAAAGGAAGAAAATGGATGAGTTCCAGTGCTGATCGAAGTGTTTAGGTTAAACCCACCTTGACGGCTTCCTTGTCCAGGATGTGGACCGCTCGCAGCTGTCCGTTCAATTCGAAGAAGACCTCGCGGATGCCGTTGGGCTTGAGATCGGCGGACACGGCCAAAGCCTTCACGCTCAGCGTCTTGCCGCGCTCCAGCGGCACATCGAATTCTTCGCCCACTTTGGGTCCAGTGAGGAAGATGCGCGTGTCCAGCTTGTCGACGGGTCCGTACTTTTCGCGGAAGTTGAGGAAATCGTTCGTCACCTGCGGATAGAGGGCGGCCGACATGACGTCCCGGTTGGTGATGCAGGAGTGAGATTCCTTCAGTTCCTTCTTCAGCTTGTCGAAATCCAAGTCCTGCAGCTCGGCACCCGGACGACCCTCAATGCGGGGCATGTCCTTGAGGACGCGCGAGCGCAGGGGCTCGGGGAATCCGCCGTGCGGGATGCCAATAGAGCCTTGCAGGTACTCCACCACCGACTTGGGGAAGGACAGCTCCTCGGCACGCTCCAGCACTTGGTCGGCGGTCAGGTTGTTCTGCACCATGAATTGGGCCAGATCGCCCACCACCTTCGACGAGGGCGTCACCTTGATAATGTCGCCCAGCAGAAGGTTGGCCTCCCGGTAGGCCTTCTTCACGTCCTCGAAGAAATCGCCCAGACCCAGCGAGAAGGCCTGGAACTGCAGGTTGGTGTACTGTCCGCCGGGGATCTCGTTTAGGTAGACATCGGCGTTGCCCGACCGCATCGTCGTCGTGCATTCGAAGGGGGCGTACAGGTTACGGGTCTGCTCCCAGTAGGCGGAGTACTCCGACACCGTGCGCAGGTCCACATTGGTGTCCAGCGGAGTGCCCTGCAGGGAGGCCACTACGGCGCCCATGCTCGGCTGAGAGGTCATGCCGCTCATCGAGTCGACTGCCACGTCCACCACATCTGCTCCGGCCTGAGCGCAGGCCAGCATGGAGGCCACTCCCGCTCCGGAGGTGTCGTGGGTGTGGATGTGGATCGGGATGTCAGGGTGCTTGTCCCGGATGGCGGTGATGAGAAGCCTGTCAAAGCGAGCGAATGATATAGCATGCATTGAGAGTAACAGAAATCTCTCCCAGACTCACCTGGCGGCTTCCGGCTTGAGCAGACCCGCCATGTCCTTGATGCAGAGCACGTGGGTGCCCGCCTTGACCAGCTCGTCGGCCAGGTTGGTGTAGTACTTCAGGTCGTACTTGGTGCGTTTGGGATCACTGACGTCGCCGGTGTAGGAGATAGCCGCCTCCACCACGCCGCCCGCCTTGCCCGCTGCCTCCATGCCGAGGATCAGGTTGGGGAGGTAGTTGAGGGAGTCGAACACCCGGAAGATGTCCATGCCGGTCTGAACGGCCAGCTCGCAGAACTTGTAGACCACGTTGTCCGGATAGCTGGTGTAGCCGACGGCGTTGGCTCCACGCAGCAGCATCTGGAAGGGAATGTTAGGGATGCGCTTGCGCATCTCCTCCAGTCGCTCCCACGGGCACTCGTGCAGGAAGCGCAGCGCCACGTCGAAGGTGGCTCCACCCCAGTTCTCCAGCGAGTACAGGTTGCTGAAGTTGTGCGACACATAGGGCGAGATCTTGAGGAGATCGTGCGAACGGACGCGGGTGGCCAGCAGCGACTGGTGGGCATCGCGGAAGGTGGTGTCCATGAGCAGCAGCTCCTTGCGGCTGCGCACCTCCTTGGCGAAGGCCTCGGGACCTCCGGTAACTAGAACCTCGCGCAGACCCTTTGGCGGTTCCGTAACTATATCAACAAAAAATACGTTAGTCCATTGCTTTAATATAGGAGATATAGTCCCGCATCATCAGGTTTTTAAAAAATTTTGGGAATATATCTTTGAAAATAGGACATTTAAGGGTTATGTCTGAAACCATACATTATTACTACTAATTTAACAAAACCCCAGAAACACAAACTCGTTAAGCTGAACATCAAAAGCTGGTAAAACACTAGCTGCATTAATAAAAAATTAAAATATAATATTTATTAAGTGCGTTAAATGAAATTAGCTTTGTACCAAAAATTAATGATAAACATCTAAAAACCACCAAGGCACATAAATGTATATTGTATAAGTAATAATTATAATAAAAATAGTGGTTAAGATTTATAAAAGTGTACAGTAGTAAACTTTAAATTTTAGATTAGTTTGTTATATAGAGTTAAGAACACCTTGGAAAACCTCTTCGATATATGGTATGTACAAATGTCCTGTGTGGAAATGGGGAATTTCTTTCCCTCTTCCGATTCCGGGATAAAAAAGTAAACGTACCTTTGGCCTCGCCACGTTCTTCCCGTTCTAGTGCTTCCGGGGACAGATCTTTGTTAGATTCGTTGAGTATGAATTCGATCATGGGAACGTGTCGCGTATGAACGGGGCGGTGTGGGCGTGGTCGTGGGTTTGTCGGTGGGCGTGTTGTGCAATTTTGAATCGTTGTTGTTGTTGGTACATACATAGGTGTGTGATATTGGTTTGTTGTATTGCAAAGCCGATTTGATTGCGATTACGATTCGGTATTGGTTGATTAATAACAGATGCAACAAAATTGATAGTTGAAAGAGTAAAAACATAAAGGTTCGATTAAAGCATATCAGAAAAGCAAAGAACGTTTCACAGGAGATGCGGAAAGGTAAAAACATCCACTAACATGCCTTTTCATTGATTTCATTTAGGAAACAAAAGCTTCGATTGATCTATTAAGTTTGTTAGTAGATCAATTGAATAGATTTAGTAGCTAGAGTCTTTTACACGAAGCTTTTTTGGTACTCAGATCAGATAGATAAGGTTTTGACTTTTCATTTAAAGATAACTAATGTCAAGTAAAGAAAAAAAAAAAAAAGTTTGAACTTAAAAAAAAAATTGATTTAGATAACTATGTTGATAATTTAACGATGGTACTTATAAGTAATGTTATGAGCTTAGAATTCTGGGGATCGGTTATTACCACAATATTTATCAAAATTCCATTATTATTATAAACTTTTTGAGACCCATAAAGAAAATGCCTATCATTAAAGCTAAAGAAAGGCAGTGTGCCCATTATAAAAACATATTTTGTTCTGACTGCTGCTGCAATTAATAACAAAACAAAAGCTTCGTGTAAGGACCCTTTTGCCGGATGATCCGGAAAGCTGAAACATTCGGAAAGCAGCAACTGCCGTGAGATAGCCACACAAGCAAGCGTGAACCCGAAAAGCACATGCCATTGATCTGGGGATCTTCCAAGAGGATTAGGCGCGAAACTCACCCAGCGGAACGTCGGGAACGTGGGGCGTGACGATGGCGGGTTTCAGGGTGGTGGCCAGCGGCGTCTGCGGTCCGTTGACCAGCACCTCACCCATGTAGTTGAGCAGCTTCTGGGCGCGATTGAGAGAGGGCTTGAACTTGAACAACTGCGGGTGCTCGTCGATGAAGTAGGTGTCGAGGACGCCGTGCAGGAACTTCTGGTTCTCCAGCACGTTTAGCAGGAAGGGGATGTTGGTCTTGACACCGCGGATGCGGAACTCACGCAGGGCGCGGTTCATCTTGGAGGCGGAGCTCTGCAGATCGCTGGCGTGCGAGATCACCTTGACCAGCAAGGAGTCGTAGTACGGCGAAATGATGGCTCCGGCATAGGCGGACGCGCTGTCCAGCCGAATGCCCATGCCCTCGCCGGAGCGGAAGACCTCTAGACGACCGGTGTTGGGTTGGAAGTCGTTCGCCGGATCCTCGGTGGTCACACGACACTGGATGGCATAGCCGCGGGGCAAGATCTTGTCCTGCGTGTATCCTAGCTCGGGCAGGGTCATGCCCTCGGCGATGCGAATCTGTGACTGCACCAGATCGATGCCCGTGATCTCCTCGGTCACTGTGTGCTCCACCTGCAGACGGGCGTTCACCTCGATGAAGTAGAAGTTGCCAGACTCGTCGCACAGGAACTCCACTGTTCCGGCGTTCTCGTATCCCACATGGCGGGCCAAACGCACGGCGGCCTCCGTCATCTTGTCGCGGATCTCGATGGGCAGACGCGGTGCCGGCGCGATCTCCACCACCTTCTGGTGACGGCGCTGCACGGAGCAGTCGCGCTCGTATAGGTGCACCACATTACCAGCCTTGTCTCCCAGCAGTTGGACCTCGATGTGACGGGGTCGCTCGATGAACTTCT